ATTGTATTAAGAATACAAATGTATTCTTAAATCATAATTTTATTATTGCCATGACACTACATTGCTTGCTCATGCATGATTAGGCACACATGGAGATGTTGAATTCTAGAATATACAGACTTTGTTTCTTAACTTTAAAATATAACACTGATTATTGTGTCTTGATTAGTTGTGCATCTACAAATTTCAGTGCACCTCAGTTCAATGTGTGTGTGTGTGTGTGTGTGTGTGTGTGTGTATGTGTGTAAGTATGGAAAGGGATTGTCTGGGAGAAGGGGTGGTTTGCTTAGTTATTTTTCAGAGGCAAAGTCTTGGTATATAGCCCAGGCTGGCCTCAACTTGTGATCTTTCCTGCTTTTCCTGAGTCCTTGCATTACAGGCTTTGCCACCACACCCAACTCTATGTTTTTCAGGTCTGTGTTACATTTGTTAGTCTAATCCATTCGTTCTTGAAAACTGTTTCCACCTTAGATACTACCTACATGTTTATTTATGTACAAGAGAAAGAATTGAGAGGAAATAAGAGCCATGAGAAAAGAAGGAAACTATTGTGAAAGTGAAGTTTAGAATCTGGACAATGGTGGAAAGTGTTTAATGGAATGCTATAAAAATAAAAACATGGGTTTATAATTTTTTTATGTTGAGAAGGCTATGTGAACACAAATAATAATAGACTAGAGCAATCTGAGCCAGCATTTTGCTTATAACACTTTACTAAATATTACAGTAGCTTTCCAAACTATTGATAATTCTGCCTTGGAAAGTCAAACGCAGCCAGATATAGTGGCCCACACCTGTAATCCCAGCACTTAGGAACCTGAAACAGGAAGCTGAAGGATTATGGGCAGTTCAAGACTAGATTGGACAACAAAGGGAGAAACTACATCATAAAAAAAGAGAAAGACAGACAGAAAGAAAGAAATTAGTGCGTTGTAGTTGGCTGTGTTGGCTTATGCCACCATTTTGGAGGCTGCAGTTGGGGAATCATGAATTCAAAGATAGCTTGAGCCACATAACAAGAACCTACCTAAAAGAAACTTACACACACACACACACACACACACACACACACACACACACACACACACACACAAATTCTTAGCAAGTATTTTTTCCTATTTATTCATCCAATTTCTGTCATCTACAAAAAGAATTTGTGCTACTGAATGATGTTATTAAAAGCTCATGCCACTCTCTATTTATTGTTTTGCCCTAAATCCACCGTTCTCAACATATGGGTCATTGTCCCGTTGGACATGGACCTACCCTTTTATGGGGTTCACCTAAGGCAATCTGCACATTTACATTATGTTTCAAAACAGTAGCAAATTACAGTTATGAAGTAGCATCCAAAATAATTTTATGGCTGGGGGGTCCACCACACCATTAGGAACTGTACTGAGAGGTCTCAGCCTTAGGAAGGTTGAGAATCACTGCTTTAAATGGTTGAAATTAATAAAACATCATGCTAGAGAGGGATACTCCCTGAGCCAAGACACACGGGGGTGGGCCTAGGCCCTTTCCCAAAGGATATGACAGATTCTGAAGACACCCCCCCCATGGAAGGCCTCACCCTCCCTGGGGAGCAGAATGGGTATGTGATAGGTGGGGTTTTAGTTGGGGGGGTGGCAGGGGAGGACAGGAGGGAGAGGGAACTGGGATTGACATGGAAAACAATCTTGTTTCTAATTGAAATAAAAATTAGGAAAAAATGTATTCCACTTTGGTGGAAATGCTTTGCTTCTCTTACAAAGCCATCATTTCAGCTGAGGCTGTGAAAGAGTATTGCTTTATTCCTTAAAATACAAACTTTTTGAAATGCTAAAATTGTAACTTATGAAATGGAGATGTAGTGAACAGTATATTCAATGTATTCAAGACATGTGTTGTGTCTATAACAGCCATATCGCCCTGCATACCCTGTCTTGTCAGAAACATACGTGTATATAGAGAGAAGCTGATATTTCTACCTAGTTTAGTACAAATGAAAGGACTTCCTACTTTCAGGTAATTTCTGAAGAAAGACTGCTCTTTAGTGCATGGTAACCTTAGAGGAAGAACACAAACCAGACTCTAGAACTCAGTCTCCTGTGCTTCCATTCCTATAAATGCAAATGTCTACTCTTCTAGACTGGGGCTGGGAAGCAATCTTAAGCCACTCATTTTAATAGATGCTTGATCAGGTGACAATGAGTTAAATACGACTCGTGTTGAAGCCCACATCCAAACCACAGAAGTTGTCTTATAAAATAGTTCTTGGGCCTGGTGGTAGAATTCAGTGGTAGGAAACTTGCTTAACACACTCAAGGTGCTGGGTGTGATCCCCAGTAAATGAAAATTCTTATGTATCCAGGACCATTAATCTGCTTTAGAACAACTCATTGTGAAGGGATATCTCATTCCTGTAGAAGCCATTTTATTAGTCTCCAGATTTATGTAGAACAGTTAGATTAAAATGCACTAAGAGGAAACAATAAAATAATATTTGAATAAAGAACTAATTTTTAGCAGAGGCTTGGCACTTCATTGCATCTCCCAAATATACTTCCATGAAATATCCCATTCATAAGCTCTTCGGGGTTAGCTGTGAGCCACTTAAAATGACACTGTGAGTTTTCGGTTGGCCCGTGGAGAGGCAGCACTTTCCAAAGCAAAGGGTCTGCTACAAAGACCAATGAGGTTTTAGAAATATTTGCCAAGATGAGATAAATGTAAATGTTCTCTTCTGCTTCAATGACGAATGAGGTTTTAGAAATATTTGCCAAGATGAGATAAATGTAAATGTTCTCTAGGCTGGTTGGGTTTCTAGGGACGACAAGATACATTTCAGTTTCTTTAAAACATAAATTAGGATGTATTAATAGTGTCTGGCCAACCATTTGCTTCTCATCGACATCCAATGAATGTGAACAATAAAGAAAGAAAAACATCACGGAACCTCAGAATGAACACCTTTCTGGTATCCTACCCAAACTTCATTTAAGGCCTTGTTCATTATGAACCCTGCTTCATGAAATATTCACTCCTATCTGCCAAAACTTAGAACAACCCTTGTAAAAATACGGTGCAGATAAACAGTGGCCGTCTTACATAATGAGATGTCCTTGCCAAATGGGAGTAAAAGAAGACAAGAAACCTGCCTCCCACTGAGCAACATGTTCCAGGCCTAGTGAGCCTGAAACGCCATCATTCATGAAATAGTCTGGCTCCCGGCAGAAGCCAGACTTCATGTTGGGCTACTGGAGAGGAGAGCCCTTCGCAGCACAGAGGCATTGACCATCTCCTTTCTCCTGCTGTTGGAGTGTGATGGTAACATGGGCAAAGGTTCTGCCATCATCACCCGTACCACCATGCCTGATCTTGGGTGGTCTGGGGATGGAACCCAAGCTTTTGTGCATGCTAGGCAAGCATTCTACAATCTGAGCTGCATCCTCCATCCTCAGTTATGTTGTCTGTACCACAGAATGTTTCCATGGAGAGAAATCACAATGATGAGATAAGTCAACCTAGAGAAGCCATCAGCACCTATTAATCTCAGTTCTCAAAGGGGATACTTCTCCAGACGCGGTTCTTATGACAGCTAATTTTTTTAGCAGCATCCTTTACTGCATGTGGCCTCCTCCATACATTTCACTGTCATAGGCCTCAGCTTCTCCCCAAGTTAGGATTAGAGTACCACCCATTTTGCACTGTTGCTATCGGTATGAAATGAGTTAATTTGATAAAGTTGTGAAAACTGTGTCTGGCACTCTTAGTGAAGGGCCTTGTAACTGCTCAGTCAGTAACTAAAGCAAGCCCAGACTCCAGGCACCAAACAGCATCGCACTACATCAGGAAAAGCTGGACATGACAGAAAGGAGAGATGAGCAGTCCTATCTTTTACAAGCATCTTTTTATTTATTTATTTATTTATTTATTTATTTATTTATTTATTGGTTTTTTGAGACAAGGTTTCTCTGTGTAGCTTTGGAGGTTGTCCTGGAACTCATTTTGTAGGCGAGGCTGGCCACAAACTCACAGATATCTGCCTGTCTCTACCTCCAGGGTGCTAGAATTAAAGGCGTGAGCCACCAATGCCTGGCACAGGCATCTTTTCTTAAATACATAAACTATTTCTGAACTTTGTGACACACACCTTTAATCCCAGCACCCCGGAGGCAGAGGCAGGCAGATCTCTGTGAGTTCGAGGCCAGCCTGATCTACATAGTGAGTTCTGAAACAACCAGGGCTACATAGTTAAGATCCTATCTTGAAAAGTTTAAAAAAAAGCTATTTTTCAATTAAAAAATTAATTTGAACAGTCATGATCACTGTGATCCATTTTATACAATATTAGCCTTTACCCCTCACCCCATCTTTTGAGACAAAAATGTAATGTAGCCCACACTGGCTTCCAATTCACTGTGTAGCTGAGAATGACCTTAAACCCCTGACTCTTTTCCCTGCCCCTCCCTACTAGATCTCGGGATTGCAGGATTGCATGCCATGCCCAGCTTTAAAACCTTTCTCTACCCATTTCAAAAGCACAAACTATTAATGCAACCAACAAAGGTTTTTGAAAACAAAACCAAAAAAGTCCAGAAATAAAACCAGTACAGTGAACGAGGCCACTCCTTTCCGTCATCTTTTCTCCTGCTGAACTGGGCATTTCTGTGCAAGGAACTCTTTGAGTCCCGGATGTTAGAGCCAGCTATGGTCCAAGGCCTCTCTGAAGCAGTAGCCAGTGCTTGTGCCCCTCCCTTTACATTACTTTCTCACACGCAGGACATCAGTTACCAGAGATATCACTCAGATAGCGTAATTGCTACTTACTGTAGTGCGAGACTAAAAACATTTAAAGGTGTCTAACACACACACACACACACACACATACACACAAACTCTGAGGCTTTGAATCATTGAAAGAGGATTCCAGGCCCCTGCATTTAATGTCTGTCTCACTCTCTGTCACTAATCTTCTCTAAAACACTTTTTATATCCTCCCTGTTTTAATCTTATAGCTGACTAGGAAAGGAACAGATCTCTTTTTTGAAATTATGGACATCTGGCTGGCCTTTGTATTTCCTGAAGATGCTATGATGATTGCCATGGAGGAAAAATCATGAACTGTCTTTCCCACCTGTGAACCCTGTAACCTACAAAAACAACTGGCCTGGCAAAGTATGTTCACTGGTGCAATAGTGGCATAGCTGTTTTGACGGTAACCAACCATCTTTTTAAATAAAGTTATGGTCTATTTCACAGGAGACAATTCATTCCTGGTACTATAGATATGGCCAAAAAGCCATAGCTGGGAGCTCAGAAGTTCTATGGGAGAACCTAATATAATTATTTTGCCAAATGCTCATAGTGCCAAATTATCATCAAATACTTGTGTTGAACCTCAAGTTTTGTGTCATTCTTGGTTCTTATCAGAGAAGCTTCTCTGTGCAGCAGGTGACAGATAATACAGAGACTCCCAACTGGTCAAAGTGCACAGGATATGTGTCTATGGAGTGATCATCCATCAATAGAATAGCTATATCACACCCCCACCTCAAAAAGCTCAAGTAACTTCACAGGGGGGGCGGGTAAAAAGATGCTAAGAATACTGTGACAAACAGTGTCTTCTAGACACAGCAGATCCATGGTACTCATGAACTCACAGCAACAGGAGTTGCCTGTACAAAATGTGCACAAGATGAAGCCAGACAAAATCAAGCCTGGATGACAGAGGAGCCCTTGAAGCTCTACCCCTACTAGATGGGGGTGTCAGTTTTCCTCAGAGTGTACATCCCTTGGTAGGTTGGCTGTGCTCGAGTGCATGGCTTGATACACCTATGCACTTGTGGGCAGCACTAATTAGACAAAATAGAAGAAGGAAGAGGAAAAAGAGAAGGGAGAAGGTAGAGGAAGTAGAGGAGGAAGAAGGAAGAAGAAGAAGAAGGAGAAGAACAAGACATAAAGTAGTAGGGGAATGTGGAGGGGAAAATCTAGGAAGAGCTGGAGAGGGAAAAGGGGATAGATAAAGTCAAAATACATTGTATATATGTATGAAGTTCTCAAAAACTAAATTTTATATTAAAAATTATTGACCACATGTAAAAAATTACTAATGTAATAAAATAAGAAAAGATAACCAAAATTATGAATTGGTTAAAATATAACAAAAATCCAACTGATTAATATTTGTAAGTAGTTTAGATATTTTTGGATGCTATTTAATTTAGAAGAAATTCAACATACGAATTAAATTTGACAACTACTTGTTTGAGATTTACTGGGTTAAAGTAAAACACAAAAGACAGGAAACTTGTCTACTCTCTACAAATTAAAGTCTGCTGACAGAAGGCAGTGCTAACATCTAACTGTGAATATTTTGTTTTGTTTGCAAGACAGGGTGCCTTTCTGTAGCCTTGGCTGTCCTGGAACTCACTCTATAGACCAGGCTGACCTTGAACTCACAGAGATCCTCCTGCCTCTGCCTCCCAAGTGCTGCCCGACTTTAACTGTGAACATTCAAACAAATACTATGACCCTTCATCTAGTCAGGAAGAATGACTGAAATTAAATATATTGTATTCAATTTGCTTGTGTTGAACATGACATGAAAACATGACATGTTCGTGTTCCTGTGTGGCAGGTCTCATGTAGCCCAGGTTGGCCCTTAACTTGCTGTGTACCTGAGGATAACTTTGAACTCCTGGTCCTCTGTTTCCACTTCTTAAGAGATGGGATGCTGCCACTCCTAGCTTGGAATTGTATTTATATGGTAATTCATGTAGATTAAGCACTATTTATAACTTGGTTTTGTTGCTAGGAGATGTTTGCTTGTTTGTTTTGGTTGGCTTTGACACAGAGTTCCACTAAGCAACCCAGGCAGGTCTTGAATTTGAGAAACGTTGCATCAGCCTCCCCAGTGCTGGGATGACAAGCATGTGCATGTTGAGCTAAAGCCTGGTTTTTGGCCTGACCAGAACATTCTATTCTGTTAATAAAGTGCTATTTAAGGCAATTGGGGGCGGGGTGCTGTTAAATTCTCTCAAGGTTGATATTAGATCTATCATGTCGACTTTTGTTTCTTGCTTGTCTGTTTCTGTGATGCTGGGGATGAAACCTAAGGCCTTGCTTGTGCTGCACAAACACTGTCACTCAACAGCATCCCTGTGTTGGTCATCTTGACCGACATATCTGCTGTTTTGTACTTCTTATTTCTACATCAGAAAATAAGGGGTAGCGGGTTATCCTGGATCATTCCCCACCTGATTTGTTGAGACAGATTATCTCAAGGAAGGAAAAACGCACTGATTCAGCTCAACTACTTGAATGAAAAGCCCTAGGAACCTCCTGTCTTATCTCCCAGTACAGTGATTACAGGCTCAAGCTAAGACTTGGAATCTGGACATTGAACTCAGGCCCCCATGCTCACATAGCAAGCTATTTACCAAGTAAGCCATCTCCTCAGCCCCAGTCCCTTCCATTTTATTACAAGTTTGCTATTCATCCACATGTGGAACATGAAAAAAAAAAAAAAAAAAAAAAAAAAAAAAAAAAGATACAATAGGCGTTCCACAAAAGGGAATGAATGGCCCGTAGCAGAGGTTATGGGAGCTCACCTCCCACCGCCCAGTCTCTAGGAGGCTCATGCCTGGGTACAACCTCTGAAAATTAAGTCTGTCCAAGAAGGTTCCCCCATCCCCCAGGGAACACCCAGCTCACCTGCCAGTCAGCTTGTCTAAATAGACAGATAAGAACATAAGCCCTCAGAAAACAGTTGACTAGTTAAGACAGTGATGTCAATCCTTACAAGCAGGACAATTTCCCAGCAGCCTTTTGGTGTTAGCCCACTCAATTTCACTAAATAAAGGGAAGTCTAAGGAAACCCTTGGGAAAAGGCAGGCTCACTCTGGGTGTGAACATGGGAGGGAGGAAGACCGTGATGTGACTTGTCGGAGTCCCTCTGTTTCATAAGCTGGTGCTATACTGGCTTACACATGCTGGCTTCTGACAGGCTACTGTTGTTAACTTCAAGAGATGACACAGGGGAACTCACTTTGTCTTCCAGAGCAACCCCAGACCTCTGGAAACCACCAGTTGTTTTAAAAAAAAAAAAAAATCATTGTTAGGTAGGGAAAAGTCAGCAATACCTATGCATTCCCTAAAAGGATATCATTCCTAACAGTCAGGGTAAATGATATTTATATGAGATATGGTATGCATTGCTTTGAAAATGCCTTATTGTTTTTAAAGTAATTCATTTCACATCCGTGTATGGACTGGGCAGCTGTAGAAGATGTGAAGCCAAGGGTTGGATTTGAAACCAAACGTGTGGCCTTGTGCACAATGGCAGAAAATTCCAGTCACAGAACTGTCTCTGTGGCCAAACTACTATAAACTGTCTAGTATATTTAAGAGGGAGGGAGAAAAAAACAAACAAACAAAAAAAACATGGTGATTTTTTTTGTTTTGTTTTGTTTTCTCCCAAGGCCCCTTTCCATTCCCTTATTGCAAAACAGAATGGAAAACCCAGGTGCTCAAATCATCTGCTAAGCGGAAATCTTAGAATAGTCTTCCTAAAACTGTCTTACCTCCGGAAGGAGGCTGCAGTACAGAAAGCTTGGAATTCCTGAGCAAGGGCTCCAAAAAGATCACTTTTCCTTTTACAACTTTGTTTTGAGTTTCCCGGACTAGAGTGACACCGAGACTGTTAGGAGCAGCCCATTGCTGTTGCCCAGGTTTTATTTACTCCGTTTCCTTCAGTGTTACCCTGACGCCGGATTTCAGCTAGCCTGCTTGCTACCCGCATTGGATTCCAGGCTTTTCCTTCCATGTGGCAGCCAGACTGCCAGTGTTCTTGCTGATTCACTGGGACAGGCTACAAGAGTGCAGGGCAGTGACCCAGCGGCGGAGACAGAGCCTAGAGCTCATTGTAAACCCCAGCTTTGTCTAAGCTCAACCAAAGCTTCTAGACTTTCGCATGGGCTTTTTCATCGGCATGGGAATCAGCCTGGTATTAGAACACTTAACTTTGTTTTCTCTGATGAAGTGCTTTGAAGATGAGAAGAGTTGCATTTATTTTGTTTAGCAACATAAATTAATGGGGTCAGAAACATGACACAGCATGTGTTTGGTGGCACTTCTTGATTTACTTGCTCTGCCTATTCCATTGCTGACACGGTCCAGTGCGTCCCAGCCTGTCACTGATGACTGTCTCCAGGTGACTTTACTTTCCATACTTTAACTCAAAACCTTCATGATCGAGCAAACAAGGTAGGCTTTAAGGAGTATGTTACAGTCATCTGTCTCTAGGCAGTTTATGGTGTCACACTCAGGGAAGCAGGTCTAACACATTCTACTTAAGGCCACTTACAAAGCTCAAATACAATTAGAGAATCAAAACTGCAAGGCAAGCTTTCTCCATTTTTAAAATTAGAAAAGTCTGAATTTGGCTAATTCCAGGAGTATCTTACTTTTTTGCCAAGGCTCAGGGATAATTATATACTTATCAAGGAAAGCATAAACATGCTTACTTGATTTTTTTTAAATTATACTTTGTCTGTACGCCTGAGTGTGTACACGTGTGTGCAAGAGCTCATGCACATCCAGCCCCCTGGACCTGGAGGTAGAGGTGGTTATGAACTGCCATGTGATGCTGGGAACCCCACCTTAGTCCTCTGCAAGAAGAACAAGTGTCCTTAACTGCTCAGCTATTTCTGCAGCCCACAAACCTTCCGTCTATTCTCAGTGATCACTTGTGTTTTGTTTAAAACATAATCATATAACATTTGAAACACATAGATGTTGTTCAAATTGTTTTGAATATGCTGAATAAAAAACACAGAGATTATTGGTTTTATCTTGTCATGATTTTTGTGTGTGTGTGTGTGTGTGTGTGCATGTGTGTTTGTTTTTTTGTTTTTTGTTTTTTCCAAACTCATATCTCAGCTAAGAATCAGAACAAATAATTGTTATAAAATGTACATGGGCCAGGCCTGGCATCGCATCCTTTAAATACAGTATTTTGGAAGCAGAGGAAGGCAGATCTCTGTGAGTTCAAGACTAACCTTTGTCTACATGGAAAGTTCCAGGCCAAGAAGTGCTCCATAGTAAAATCCTGTCCCAAAACAAACAAACAAAATGAACTTGAAGTTACTGTGGTGGTTTATACCTGTAATACTGGCACTTTGGAAGGAGAAGCAGGAAGATCAGTCATTTCAAGCCACC